TCTTGGTTCCTAATTAACTAATTAAAATACCTGTCGGGTAAACTGCATCTGTACCTTAAACCACTGTTAACCGCTTGAGCGTACTTGGTGAAATTAATTAAGAAGGTTCATAATTTTGAACTTCCATCACACATCAAGAATACTCAACAGTTTTGGAATGGGGAAATAATTTGTACTGATGATAAAGATCTATTCCTTATCGGACACACACAAAGGATAAGATAAGAAAGTTGCTCATGGGGCCAATAAAGTGATAGTCTTACCTTGTTAATATTAGGGTAATACTGTTCATACTATTCAACTGTAATATAGCAGTCCGGGTTCACTTTCCCAAGACAGAGAACTGGTGGTGCTGTACTTGTATTAGGATTATCAGTTCAGCCTGGCGCAAGTTCCCGGATGTTCAACGATCGGAACTTCAGCCACAGTGATGAACCTTCGGTGATACTTCAATCACATAGGCAATTTACAGTAGCGTTAGTCCCAAACCTAAATTCTTGGGTAACTAGCTTTCAAAAGAATGACCGAAACAGTTCTGCATGAGACCTGGAAAGTTCCAAGGAGCACTGACAGGAGAAATCTCTCTGCAACAATGTGCTGCCGAGACTGTTCTATCGTCTATGCGCAGGGATCCCTGAGGTTGTCCGAGCTGGGTCAGTAACCACCCCCGTCCTAAAATGACCCTCCTCAATAGATTGGGTATCTCTTAGGTAGTAGTGGTAAAGACAGTTTGCGTTCTCGAGAAGCCTGCCATCAGCACATGCTTGAGGGGGGTATCTGACGCAAGAGCCAATGAGTTAGCAATCACATGGACCTCATGCACTCATACTTGGTGTCTCTGCAGAGCCTGTGGGGGTGGGGCAGAAATCTTGGAAGCTCCACTGTTGGGCCTCTCACTCGTCGCCGCAGTACTTGAGGCACCGGTAGACAAGTCGGAGGACTTTCCACTCATGCTACACTCCATTCACACACGCTCACATTACTGCATACGTGACTGCTGCGAACCCGAGCAACGCGGTCAGTCTCAGTAATTTGCACGCAGCCTTATAACGCATCTCAGGCCTTAGAACCCAATTTATTACAAATATTCTCTAGGCAAAACCCTGAGCACCGCACACAGAACAAACACAAAAGGCATTTGCTATGTGGGTTCCAAGCTGGTAAATCCTGGTGGCCAGTACCATACGATAGACTCGATCTTAGGGGCGACCAAAAGGAGGTTAGGAGTCTCTGGCATGTTACCTTTTCATTTCTAAAAACACATTGGTAAAAATGAACAAGACATGCATAATTTTTTAGAGAAACTAATTACAGTTAAAAGCTGACACAAAGAGATCAAACAACATGGCCGAATTTGCATCACCCAAATTTTATCCTACCAGCCACAGCGTTGGCTGCTTACGCAGGTGACTGCTAGCCAGACCACAAACCCAGACAGGAAAAAATCTGGATGACTAAAATGCATTGTTTTCATCGAGAGTGATGGGGAGGCAATATGGCGCTGTCTCATTGCCACAGACACTGGGTTCGTGATGTGAAGGAAAATCTTGATGTTATGGGGCCTCCCCTGCCCTAGATTTCTCTCATCATTAGCTGAATCACAGATTAATGCCTACAGTTCAAAATAGTCATTTTAACTGACCGGAGTCTATGGTGGCTAATTGAACGTAGTAAATTTTAATGGGTGATCCCAACATGACCTACAGTTGAAAATACAGTACAGGCCAGTGTTCATTTTCCAATAAGGGTGGGCTAATAAGTCTGTCACCAGTCCACTGCAACAGAGCAGTATTGTTCGCGACCAGATTCTTGATTAAATCATTCTCCAGGTGCACTTACTTCTTTGGTGCCATTCCAAAAATATTCACTTGGAAGCAAAACACCTAAAGGCTTTCAGTGGATAAACTGTGTGTTTCCACTAACAGATTATACAAAAGTCATTGGGCAAATTGCAGAGATTGTGAATCTCACAGAAAAGATTACACTGTCAATGACACTATAAATCTATTGTTTGTTCTCTGGTTGTCGAAAATGAAAAGCATTTAAATTAAATTAATATAGAAACAACAGAATCACATCCTTAGGTTTGCAAAAACTTTATTCAACCAGTTAATGTCAACAGAAAAACAGAATTACATACATTGAATACAGTCAAAACGTACATCCAGGACAGACCCCTTCTTTTAACATAGGATTTGGATGAGCCTATCCAACTGGGATAAATAAAGCATGCAACAAAAGTGTGTAAGGCTGCTTTAAAACTTGATAATGTGCAGCACATCTGTCTAACGCTTGAACAAAAAAAAAAACATATATAAACAGAAGTAAAATATTGACCTCCAAAACATCAACCTGCATATGCAGTTGAGGAGTTGGCAGAGAAAACCAGATGCCTGGATATATTTGTTATATATTCAAAAGTAAAATAGCCCCCCCCCCCTCCAAATATCAATCCATACAAATATCCAAGTTTTAACCTTGTGTATACTAACCCTCTCAACTATATATTGCAGTACTGTAAATATTAATTTATACCATTAACATACTCCCGTATTCTTGTGTGTTATGTGCAAAATATTATGGAATAAATACAAAACTAAATTTATATTCAGGGGAAAAAATCAAGTAGGTTATAGGTTAGTGTGGAACAATGTGGTGCCTAAAAATCAAGTCAAGACATATTTGTACAGAAATCGTAAGCTTATGGCATGCACTCCATTATTTAAGTCGACACATGCGTATCAATTCTTGTCTGCAGACACCAAACATTGTTGAATCAAAATACAAGCATATATTATGAAGGTAAAGTTCAATTTTGTAAAAAAAGATATTTCGGCTGTAACAGTGCAAATGTGTCAAATAGAAATGCATATATGCCTTATTTGGTGATTCTACCTCCTAATAAGGTGAGTCCTGAAGTAGAATACCTTGTGTGAAAGAATGCTATGCATTACAGCATCCAATATTGATGTGCACATATGCAAGCTACATGCAACTCTATCACAATTAATATTGACAGTTCACAAAAGTTATAGATCCCGCAGACATGTTTGGGATCCAGAGCCAACAAAAACATGCCAGCATATTGAACAAAACTCAATTGTCACTTACAATGTTATAACTCATTTTTTTATGAGTAAAACCAAAGTGTCACAGTATAATGGAATAATAAATAGTGATGTCATAAACAATAACAATAAATAATTATCTTTGGAATATTAACTGATAAAAGAAATTCAAAACGGTTTTGGAAATACTGTGGCCAATTACAGCTCTTTCAGCTACAACAGGATCCCATTGCAGCCAAGACAGTTCAGATTGTTATGTTGATACATTGTATCTAACCAATGTAGATAACATCTACAACAAAAGAGATGTTACCACTGAGACACCAAGCGAGATTTATTTTGTCTAAGGTGACTGAACTTATGTAAACATAATGCTGATTACCCTATGATTAGAACATACAATGAATGTTTGTAAACGTCATTAACTTCAAAACATAAAAAGAGCGACAGTTGCTATGTTCACGTTAAATGCAGAAATCATGCCCTAATTCTTCGATCTATTATTTGACTAAAACATAGAAAATTATACGCATATGATGATAATTGTTATATTGAAATTATACCATTTGCTGTTACGGTATTTATTACGAGTCATTATGCACATGAATCGCAAAGAAGTTTCAAAAAATAAATATTTTTTCTACATTGATGTAGCATTGCAAAAAAACGGTTGCAACAGCACATAAATATGCTTCGCAGACAACATTCTGCATTTATTTTATTCATTACTATAGCATCCCTCCCTTGTCATGTCATACTAGTATGAATCAGTATATACGTTTTATTTCATTCACCACTCAGGTCGCGATTTCAGCTTGTGCCGAGCCTTCAGGCAGCAAATCTCGACACAAGCAGATTTCGTGCCGAGATCTCTAACATGAACGCCACTAGTGTTTGATGGTTGTGTGCGAGTTTATGTTGTATGTAATGCCTTCTCAGCCAAGTCATTTTTGAGTACACATTGATGTTTACATGTTTTATGTATTCTCCTGGAAACTCTTATCAGATTTGATCTCAGTCGAGGTTGCAATGTGGACACTGATGTTGAAAGAGCTGTAGATTGTAAATGAACAAACACTGCTTTAATTTCACACAAATTTCCATAGGGCAATTTCATGTTTTTTTTTTAGACAGGAAGTGAGAGACATAATTTAGTCTATACAAACTCATTCAAAACATGTAACAGCTCACAGTATTTTATATTGGCAGCAACTAGTTTTGTGACATCTATTCAACCATTACATATACACAACCATGCACCAATTGAGAAAATTCAAAAATACTTCTCAAAATCAGTCCATTGTGCGTATTGAAAACTAATTTTCAAATTTGGTGTAAAGAAATAAAACTTAATCGAATGCCTAGATATTGTGAACAGACAACAGTTTACTGATTATAGGAATATGAATTAGTTTTTGATAGATGTCTTAAGAAAGTTGACAGAAAAAATGGAGCAATTTTAATGAAATTGATAATAGGGATGAAACCCTCACTCTGCCATTCATAAAACAATGGTTAACAAAGACGTGCTAGGGTAGCTATGAACAACATACTTAGCAAAATATGACCTAGTACTTGTAAACTTTAGGTAGGTGTGGGACTGACCTGATCCTACTTGCATTATTTAACAGTTCCTATGCAGACACACAAAACTATTTTAAAATGTAAATTCTTTGCAACACACCTGAGACATATAATTCACTTAATTTCAATATTAATGATACTTGTTCGATAAAAATAGAGATTTGTATCAAAACAAACCACCAATCTAGTAAATTCACTAAAGATCATTTGTGGCATCACCAACTGAATAAGGAATTATGGGTAAAGAAACAGTTTACAACATACAATTTGTATCAAGTTTTATCTCAAATTCACTTATTTTTTTTCTGAACAATCTAAACAAACCACAGCATCAATTTCAAAAGTTTATGTTAAATTATACTTTCATTTGTTTATTTACATTTTCTATGCATATTAATGAATGAAAGAATCCAACTCTCATAAAATATATCAACTAATAAACAAAAAACATTCAGTGTGTTCAGTACCAAACAAACCAGTACAAAAAAAATCACTATAAAACTTGCATAATATTTATCATAAAAATTCTTGTCTTATTTTCACTTTCTTTATACATTCCTCTTTGTACTGGTGTTTGAAAATAAACCACTCTAATCATGAAGTACCCTGATCATTTTCATTGTCATTATGTCCAGCATATTGTCTACAGGTGTATGATATGAATATTTTAGGAAGTAAAAACTTCAACAATATCCAGTTAATTTCTCTGTATGAAGTAAAGGACAGTTATGATACAATTCCTGTGTTCGAAGATAAATAAAAGTAAAAAAAAAAAAAAATTTGCTGTTTCTTTAAAGAATGACCATGAAAAACAACAGCGAAAACTGTACAAAGTGTGTTAAGTGCATGTATTGAGAAAGATCGTATATTAGTGACACCGTAAAATGGAGATAATAGGAATTTTAGTGTAACTTGATAGTTCTACTCTTCATCAATGCACTCTCCCATAGCAAAGCGATAACCAGCCATATTGGAAATACCATGATAATGAACAAATGCGGCTCCAACAACAAGAACATGAAATATTTGATGGCTCTGGAACTACAGAGATAAAAATCAAAAATAAAATATGAGAAATAACAAGAAAGCAATATTAAAAGATTGAACAGAAATACATTGTATATGTTTGTCAACATACAGAAAATATGATGTGCATCTAGTTTCAACAGTTTCAAAATTCCTGAAAATTCAAAGACTATGCAAGGAATTGTTACTGTATGCATGCATGTCTGGGCAAAATACATCAAATACAAATTTTGGTTAATATGCCATTTTAATAAACATAATACAGAATATGCCCATAAAATATTTGCCATATTTGTGGTTAGAATTGTGTTTACCGTATACACTTACCACAATATCACATTTGCCAGGAAAGAATCTCTCTGGGACCCGGACAGCATAAAGAACAGCTCCAGTGATATACATAGCACCCATCAGGACCATCCAACCTATAGCACCAATCTCAAAAGATTGGACGAAGCCTACACGAATGAGAAAGTGTATAGCAGGAATCACAGCACTCAATCCCATTGCAATAAACACACCTGAAAATAAAAATATAATTGTTGTAATATTTAGCTTGTTCAACCCAATGACATATTTATTAGGCATATGTTATTCAGGAACCAATCAGTTGTTCTACTGCATGTTCAAAACAACAGGCAAAATAAATGCAAAAATTGGTACAGAGCATGTTCACATGAACTCTCAATAAACACTATTCAAAAAATCACAGATGTGCATGAAGT